TGCATGGGTGCGAAGGGAGGTGCCAGCCGACCTGGGAGAGGACCGATAAAGGAAGATCTGGGCAAACTCCAAAATCCAGGAGCAAGGCAACCACATTCTTTCTGCTACTTCCCGACAGCCAGTCTCTGGGTTAGTACCCCGCTAAACATCACATGGTTTGTCTTTAAAGTTAAGAACCAGTCCAACCCCATTTCCTCCCACTCCTTGCCTCTTCTCAGTGTGCCTCCAAGTCCTCCAAACAGCCTCTGGCTCTGGACCGTCACTGCATTTTGTTAGATGCAGAAAATGGCTCCTGGTTGATGCTTGTGCTAATCTCCTGACAGGCTATCACTCCTGCAAACATTTATTAAGCACCCACTGTGCAGTCACTTTGCTAAGTGCTAAGGGTATTAAAAATGGACAAGAGAAGGACCCTGACTCGAAGGATCCTTATCTGAACAGAGGAGGGAACATGTTTAAAAAATGCTGGAAGCCCTGTACCTTGACAGGAACAGATTTGTAAGGCTCAGGGAATGGTTTGATGGAGCAAGGACCATTTGAGTTGGGTTTTGAAGAGTGAAGAGGAGCTCTATGGGTCCTTGCATAGGGGCCCCGGGCTAGGAAAGGCAGTGTGGAAGTTTAGGTGGCTGGATGCTCGTATGCCTGGAGAGGATCTGGTGCCACCATACTAGGTGGAAATTGGGAAGCTGGGTCTTGGCATCTGGTGATGGGTTTGGAGATTGCTGCATTGGAGACCATGGAACCCAGGCTGGGAGGGAAGGAGGAAGCTGGGGCTTGGGGTGGAGAACAGGGGAGGGTGGGAGAGGGAGCCCCTTGTGAGCCTACCTCATGCCTGGTCTGTGCACTCTTGAGGTCTCGCAACTATGCCCGTGAGGGACATGCTATTGCCCTTGTATGTGAGAGGAAAGAGGCTCAGAAAGGATGAGAAATGTGCCAAATGTAACGTGTCTAGTACATGGTGTTGAGCCCAGGGTGATCTACCTCTGAAACCCATGATGCTCTGTAGGGCTGCCTCGGGCCCACTCAGGGATCTGCCACTGGCGTTTCCATGGCCCATGAGAAACGGGCCCTGCTCTTAGGAGAAGACGTGAGATCCATATGAAAGGCAGATGCCAAGCATGCCATCTTGGAGCCCCATGGGAAAGGACGATGGGTCTGGCTTGGTGGGACCTCTGGTTGGGTCTAGTCACACTGCAGGGTGGAAACCCAAAGCCAGACCCAGCCTTGCCAGGACAGAAGGACAGAGTGCCTTACATTTACCCCATGGCAGGCAGCACTGAGCCCCCACACATGGAGGAGGAGGGCTTCCTGGCCCCCTGGGCCTGAAGAATTCTCTCAGATTTATTCACTCTGAAAAAGGAAAATGATGACAATTCCTTGGCCCCCTGGAGACATAGAAGGAAGGCCATGTCACTGTCACGTGATTGGGCTTATTTCCCCCCGGGGCCAGAGCCATGCCGAGTCCTCTCTCTGTCCTGAGTAGACACCCGCGAGGCTGCCCTGTCCCACAGGTACCCGACAGACAGGCAGGCGTCAGTCAGCAACACGGCCTGCGGGCCCGGTGTGGCAATGGCTGTTGGAGGCTGATCATTCACGAAACCAACAGGGAGAAAAGAACAAGGAGGCAGGTTCCAGACATAGGGCCAGTGGCTGGGGAAGCCAGGAGTGGGGCTGGAAAGGTGCGGAGAGAAGTCACACAGGAGTGGCAAGGACCTGAGGGCAAAGGAGCCAGGTGCAGGCAGAGTCAGTGCCTGAGACCAGCTGGCCCAGGTCGCGGATGGTGATATGGTGGCAGCCAGGCCCCTGGGCACTATGGGGAGCGTGGAGGAGAGGGTTATATCTGCAGTACACCAGAAGTACAGATCTTTCCAGAGACTGGGACAGCCTTCTCAGAAGACGGGCCGCCAGTAACTCCAGGCCAGGCCACCTCTAGCCTGGCCTTACAGCCTGTCCTGCTGGGCCTGCTCGGCAAGCCTAGGGTGAAGAAACAGCTCTGCTCAGGAGACGACTGTGTAATCCGCAGAGCCAAAGTGCTTGTTCACTTCTTACACATCCACCTGGGTCAAGCATGAGAGCAGAAACCGCTTCAACGGGAAGCTCAGGTTCAAACTCCGCAGAAGACCTGAGCTCCAACCCCTCGGATCTCAAAGACCTGCTCAGCCTCCTGGAGGGAAGACAGCCTGAACTCTGCAACCCCAGAATCCACCCCTAAGGCTACGCGGGGAGCAAAGCCACTCAAGTACTTCAAAAGGGAACTGAGAGAGAAACAGTGAAAGCAGGCTCAGGAAATAACCTGTTTGGGGCTTCTTGTCTTCAGGGGTTGCTGAGTGAGAAGCCAGGAGTCCGTTTCAGAGCGGATCGGGGTGCTGTGGCTGTGGCCCGGGCTTCTGGGGCAGGGATGTGTGGCCAGACACTACCTGGGCCATGGCCCCGCCCAGCAAGGAGCGGGATCCAGAGGAGCAAGGCCCCTGCCCACGGCTGCTTTGGGCCTTGCTCTGCCATTGTCCCTGGGAGGAGGGCTGAGCGCCCCTGAGCCTCAAGGGCCCTCAGGGCTTCCTCTCTGAGCAAACACACAAAGGAGTAAGGGAGCCATGTTCAGAGCAGACACAGGACTGTCACTGGAGGTACAGGGCACAGAGGGCTTCTGGGCCAGAAGAGGGATCCTGCCTGTAAGTCCTCAAGGGAGAAATGTTTGAAAGCCTGTCTCCCGTGGCTGAGCGCTCAGGCCCTGGATAGGCGCAGAGAGGCCAGTCTGCCCTCCAAGTGTGTCTGTGGAACTGAGGAGAGCCCTCAGAGAGCCCAGCGGATTGGTTTCCCAGCCCCGAGCCCAAGCCCTCAGCCTCCCTGACAATGCCTGAGCCCTTCCAGAGGGCTGGTAGCTGATGAGTCTGACCTGGCCTTCCCCAGAGGGTGCCCATGGGACCTGCCTCGGTGTTCCTTCTGTCTTAGCTTCTTAAACTGCACTTTCAAGTGCACACATGTTAACTGTACACCATTTTACAGTGGCACACAACTGTGTAAGCACTCCCGAGATGAAGACATCAAAGACCTCCACCTCCCCGAGGCTTCCCTCTCACTGCTTCCCGTCAGTCTCCCTGCAGAGGCCCTGCTGCTCTGCTTTCCATCACCCTGAAGTCATTCTGGCTGCCTCCGAGCTTCCTAAAGGCGAAAATTGTACATACTCTTCCGTGTCTGGTTTCTTTCAAAAGATTTGTCTGTGAGACTCAGCCATGCTTTTAAATGCAGCAGTCTTCTGTTCGTTTTCTCTGCTGGATAGTATTCCATCATATGGACATACCATCCTTACTTATCTATCCCACCGCTGATGCGGGGTTTCCAGTCTGGGGCCACCCTGAGAAAGTTTCCATAAGCATTTCTGCATATGTGTTTGAGTATCCTCATAGGTCTGCCCGGGGAAAGAGGTTCCCCCAGCTACAAATGTCTGGGAGACCAGATTTTTCACTTCTGGACTGCACTGTAACTGTTACCCAGGCATCAGGTTCTCCGATCTTAAGCAGCAGGATAAAGAAAGCACTCCTGGAAATTAGAACAAATGCACATGTGGAAGCTTACAAGGTGTTTGGGGAATCTGACTTCTACAGTGTGATAGAGAGGGGTGTGGGTGTGGACTTTGAATGTGAGAGTGTGTGCTAGTGTGCGTATGAGTCCATACAGATATGTGGGTGGGACTGTGTGTGAGCACTGTGTGTGTGTGTGTGTCTGTGTGTGTGTATGTATGTAGACTTACAGTTACTGCGTGAGAGGGTCTCAAAATCTCCTGGGCACTTTATCCAAAATGACTGTGAGAGATCCCCTGGTCCAGAGCATTTAGAGAAAGAAGAGGAAATGACCAGAGATGAGGCTAGAAAAACAGATGAGGGTCAGACTGCAAAGAGTGGTGAACGTCTTACTCTAGCATTTGGAGTAAGTACCACACCACTTGGTAAGCATGGCAAAGCCAGCTGTGTCACTTACCAGCACGTGGAGTCCCACACCAGGATGAGTGAAGTAGAATTTGCTAGTGAGGGGTCCTGGAGGGCAGGGCAGGGAAGGGCTAAGTCTACAGCAAACAGCCTGTGTTTATGTTCCGGCTCTGCCATTTACCCACCAGGGGACCTTTCCATGTACCTTACCGTGCCTCTATTTGTTCACTTGTAAAGTGGGGACATTCCTGGCTTTCATATGCCAGAGTTGCTGAGAAAATTAAATGAGCAAGTACTTGAAAGTGTTGCCACATAGTGAGCACACAGTAAGCACTAGCTAAAATGATTCGTACAGATAAATGTTGTGATTAATAGATGAAGCGTGTCTTGGCTTGTGGGTGTACACATGTGACTTGCACTGACAAATGGCACACGCACACAAATGGGCAAACAGTCCTGCCCACACACAAACACCCTACAGAAAACAGGGGTTTACAGGGGAAACATTCAAAGATTCTCCCAGTGTAGCCACTGCCCATAACTTACACACTGGAAGCCAAATGCTCCTTAGTTACAGAAAGGAGACAGGAAATAAATAGACCCCAAATCATCTTTGCTTTAGGGACTCACAGTTGGATGAGCACCCCAGTTACCCAGGTCCTGGGAGGACTGCAAACAGCCCTCTAGAGCCAGCCAGCTTCAGCTCCGTTTGCAGGGACATGGGGAACGCTGCCTTCTCCTCTGCGGCTGGGGAGACTAGAGCAGCAGCACCCAGGAGAGCCTGGGGAAAGCGGGTGCCAGTACAGGATTTCCGGGAAAAGTAGGGAAAGCCTGCATCTGGGCCCTCCTTCACTGCCCACACAGTGAGATGGTCTGCAACCAGGCCTGGGACAGACGATTCAAGGAGCTGACACAATTCTCATAGCACAGCAGTCTGTACGAAAACCCAACACAGTCCCCATCTCCCTCTCTTGGAAGAGGGGCTCCCAAGCCAGGAGCCCACCCCTACCCCCTGCCCCGCCTGGTGACACAGTCAGCAGGGTGGAGAGGGACGCGCGTCTGAGAGCATGACCTTACCTCCACGTACAGCAAGGGGAAGATCCCAATCTTGTCTCCCAGCATGCCTTCTGCCCAGTTGTCATCCACTCTTCGGATGACGGTCAGGATCTCGTCCTGTGGTGGCCGCAGCCCATCACGAACACAAGCACGTGGACACGCAATGGAACACACACAACAAAAACAGAGACCAGTCAGTACCACAGAAGCTAAGAAAAGATCCTACACGATGATGCAAAGAAAGGTTTATTATCCATCTGGGATATGACATCCAGAACAATCTGCCCTTACATCTTCACTCACAGTCTCCCGCTTTCTCTCTTACTTATTGATTATAGCTGCAAAAATCCTCAAACAGAAACGTGTGGTAATTTACAATATGGCTAGTATTTTAAAATTCATGTTCCTATTATTTATTTACTGAAATAAAATTATTTTGAATAAAAATAAGTTCAGCAAGTATAAAGCTTTTTAAGTTTCTGGCTCCATCCACAAATGAAAAATGACCCAATCCAATTCCATTTATTTAGAGTCGTGGGTACAAAAAGCTTTGGATAACCCTCCTAAATTCTTTGGCAACTCAGACAATGCCAAGTATAGATGCACAAAGTGGAAACAGATGGAAGGGAAAGGAAGAGGCATGAAGCATGGAGGAAGAGGAGCTTTCCGGGGAGACTGGCAGCCTGGCAGTTGTGAGAAAGGACGTGCCCGGGATGCCTTCGCGGGTGCCAGATGCTGCAGGGACACGTGACGGGGGTGCGGAGAGGAGGGTGGGAGAGAGAAAGCACTGAGCAAGGATGGAGAACAAAAGGGAGAACCCACCAAGGAAGAGGAGTGGGGAAGGGAGACAACACAGGCAGCAGCAAGTGCTAAGAGGGCCAGACAGAGATGCCACAGGCAAAATGGCGCCTACACCAGGGGTCTGTGGCTGGCCTCTGTTCCCTCTCCAATATCCATCCTCCTCTCGGTATGCCATGGGCTGTCTGCCAAACCACCCCGCCCCCTGTCCCGCCACATCAAAACCTCCCTGTCACTTGTCCCTCAACAATCTGCTAGGGACCACCAGGCCCATCTGGGACTTGTGCTAAGGAGCTGATGGCCGGCCTAGTGGGGTAACCCCTACTGGATTTGAAGGTACCATCTGAGTCCTCAATACTTTAATGGGAAGCAATAATATAGGATTGGTGGGCCTCCCTTGGTTAAGAGGCACATTTTAGGCCAGCATACTACATGAAATTACCAGAAAACCTGGCTTCCCTGTGAGCTAAGGGACCAAAGAGATTTGGAGTATTCATCTGGGTCAAGGTAGAGTCACCTAATAGGAGTGAGAAATGTCTTTCAGAGAAAACAGGTAGCAAAAAGCAAGGATGTGTGTCTGTGAGGGGCAGCTCGCTGTGGTCTCTTCCAAACCTCTCTTCACCCAGGGGTACAGAGTAGAGCCTAGGAACAATCATACCCCTCATTTTCTCTGCCCTCATTCCAGCCTCCCAACTTCAAAAAATTCCAAATAACAAAATGATCTGTGATTTTAGAATATTCTTCTCTCAATTGATACAAGCCAGAAAAATGCAATAGACACTACAAGGGGACCATATCATTTCACCTGTTACAGGGTAGTCGGTTCTCAGGCTCCAAAATGATATTTGTAATGGTTTCCTATTCTAGCTCAGCCATTAGAATGTATGGGCTTTTCTGGTAACCATCAGCCAACGTGGTCAACTGGCTAGAGGGGAGATGTACAGAAAATGTCCCTGAACTCCCATGCCTTGCTCACCTCACAAGTTCACAGCTTGTAAGAGCCCTGGGCCTGTGATGAACTCAGCTCAGATTCAGCCAAGGGAAGCCCCTAGGACTTTGCTGATCATGCAAAGGGAAAGAAAATTGAAGGCTTCCTACATATCAGAGTTTTTGCAACAATAAAATAGCACAATAAAGACATTAAATTTTGTAAAATTCAAAAGAAAAAAATGCCAGGTTAACTTTGGTTTAAAAAAGAGAAATTACCACACTATACACACTATTACTTAAGACTCGTCTAGAAATTAGAGCCAAAGAAATAAAAGAATATAAAACAGAAAGCATTAATGTTGGAAAGAAGGTATAAAATTTTTTACCTAGAAAAAAAGTGTCAACTAAAAATTAGAATAAATTTGAGAAATACTGCAAATTCTAAACTACATACATAAAAATCATTAGTTTACTCATACACCAGCAATAGTAAGTTAGAAAATGTGATTAAAAGTGGCTATTAATAAAAGTTCTCTAATACACTGTATATGCCAAAATTAATTGCATAAATAGTAAAGCTTCAAATGTTAGAAAAAACCTTGAATACTCAAGAAGAAAATATGAATAGATGTTTAATCTTGAGCTTGGGAAGTTCTTTTGAAGTATGATAACAATGATTTGGCTATACAAAAATGAAATTCTCTATGCTAAAAACAAAAAGGCAAAAACCTAGTTAAATACTTGGAGGATATATTAGAGACAAAGACTTAATATCCATACTATATAAAGACTTAAAGACATAATAGAAGAAAAAGACAAATACCTTAAAAAGAAAAATAAGCTAAAGGTAAAAATAAGACTACTCACAAAAAAAGAAGAAAAGCAAATTGCCATTCAACATATTTTTAAAAGTTATAACCCACAAATAAAAAAATATAATTGTAAGAAAGAAGAGTCTTCTTTTTCTTCAATGTTTTATTTTGCCCATCAAATTAGCAAAGAAGAACATAAAGCCAACTCGGAGTTTTGGTCAGGATGGAGAGAATAGGCACTTCATCATTTTTGGTGGACACAGAAATTTATAGCATGCAGTTTGTCAATTTCTATCAAAGATCAAAGCCTGTATACCCACTGATTGAACAACAACACTTCTAGAGACTCTACACTAGGAAAATCAAAGATGTGCAAAAAGATTTAGCTCTGAGAGTGTTCATTACAGTGTTGTTCAATTAGATGGAAACTATGGACAAATGCACAGCAGAAGAGATTTGGTTAACTAAATTATGGTACTGTCTGCCAACTCCAGCCATCCTGTACTACCTAAGGAGGAATGGGGGAAATGAAAACATGCATGTGGAGTTCACAGTCTAGCAGTACAGGCTCCTTAAAAGACTGAAACCCAATAATAGGACCACAGGACTATACAGTGCTCTCTCTCTTCCTAAACACCATGACCACATTACTAAAGGCCAATTTACAGCAATTCTTTTTACCTGGTACACCATGTCTGTCTACCAAAAAAATTACTACTAGACATACAAAAAGGCAAAATAAAACAAAAACCAAAAATATAGTTTGAAGAGACAGAGCAAGCATCAAAACTATAGGATATATGACTCAGACATAGCCAGGATGTTGGAACTATCAGATGGGGAATGTAGACCAACTATGATTAATATGCTAGGGGCTCTAATGGATTAACTGTACAGCATGAAAGAACAGATGGGCAATGTAAGTAGAGAGATAGAAAGTCTGAGAAAGAACCAAAAAAGTAATGTTAGGGATCAAAAACACCATCATAGAAATGAAAAATCTCTAGATAAGAAAATTAGTACTCTGAACTTGGCCGAGGAAAGAATCTTTGACCTCAAGTACTTCTCAACAGAAACCTCCAAAACTGGAAAGCAAAGAGAACAAAGACTGGGGGTGGGGAGAGAACAGGATATTCAGGGACTGTGAGACAGCTATAAAAAGTATAACCTATATATAATGGGAATATCAGTAGGAGAAGGAAGGAAGGAAGGAAAGAAGGGAGGGAGGGAGGGATGGAGGAAGGAAAGAAGGAAGGAAGGAAGGAGGAACAGAAGATATATTAGACACAATAACAACTGAGAATTTCTCCAAATTAATGTCAGACACCAAACCACAGATCAGGAAGTTCAGAGAACACCAACTAAGACAAATGCCAAAAACCTACCTAGGCATAGCAAAGTACCGAAAATCAAAGATAAAGAAAAAAAATACTGAAAGAGGCCAGAGGGGGAAAATACCATATCTATAGAGGATCAAAAATAAGAATCACACTTGACTTCTCTAAAACCATGCAAAGAAAAGAGTAGAGTGAAATATGCAAAGTGTTGAGAGAAGAAAACCCACCAGTCTAGAATTATGTACATTAGCTTCTCTAGTGAGGGAGAAATAAAGACTTTCTCAGACAAACAAAAATCAAAAGAGTTTGTTGCCAGTAGACCTGTCTTGTAAGAAATATTACAAGAAGTTCTTTAGAAAAGTAAAGTGTACATAGGTCAAAAACTTGAATCTACATAAAGAAAAGAACATTGGAGAAGGAATAAGTGAAGATAATATAAAACTTTTATTTTTCTTGTTCTTTGTTCAAAATTAAAGTAGCAGCAATGCATTCAATTACATATGCTATGTACATATATTATATATATATATATATATATCATGTATATACTTATACAAGTGTGTAAGTGAAATGAATGACAGAATGATATAAGGGGCTGAAGAAAAGAGATAGGATTATTTTATTATTATAAAGTATTCATACTACCTGTGAAATAGTACAGTGTTTTTTGAAAATGAGCATTATTAATTGCAAATGTATATTGCAAACTCTAGGACAACTACTAAAATTTTTTTTAAGGTACAACTGATATGCTAAGAAAGGAGAGAAAATAGAATCACATAAATTGTCCAATTAAAACAGAGAAAGCTAAAAAGAAGGAAGAGAGGAAAACAAAAATAAGAATGAAAATCAAGGGCAACAAATAGAAAACAGAAATAAATATGGTAAATATTAATTAAAAAATATCAAATAATCACACTGAATGTCAATGGTCTATATTCACAAATTGAAAGACAAAGATTGTCATAGTGGATCACAAAGTAAGATCCAACTGTGTTGCTATGTTATCTACAATAAACCCTTAAATTTATTTTTATTATGTTCAATTAGCCTATATATATGTGTGTGTGTGTGTGTAGATACCATATTTTATATATACATATATATCAGTTTTTGATGAAGTGTTCAACAATTCATTAGTTGCGTGTAATACCCAGTGCTTATCACCACATGTGCCCTCCTTAATAGCCATCACCCAGTTACCACAACCCCCCACTCTCCTCCCTTCTGTAGCCCTCAG